AGTTCTTTAGATTTCACGTTCTAATAATGAAAGCTTACTGATGCTTAAACATGCTGAAGAGGGAGTCAAAGAGCATCAAACAACAATGTTGTCGTTTAATATTCAATTAAAAATGGAAAATATAAATCCATGAAAGTGACAACAATGGAACACCTTATTACTTCACACTTACGAAGAATTGATATATCTAACGACCAGGAAGATGTAATGTTGAAAAATTAGGAGATATACTGGACCGAAATCCATTAAAAAAATGGGAGAAATTCAAACTATTAGTCGGAGCAGATTATTTTTTCGAATTTGAACTAACAGTGATTAAAGAGTTAACGAAAGAATTCCGGCTTATCAGTGTATCGGTTGGTTATATTATAGCGAAAGCGGTACTCTAAAAAATGTAAAAATCAATTCAGAAATCAATTCATTTCCATTTAATTGATAGCTCTTGGATAACATCCTTCATGATGTCATTCGGTTCAGCACTATTGCTCAACATGCATGAAGTTCTTTTCCTTCCATTTGTATCATTTATAACAATTATTCCAACCTCTTTATTTCCCTGAACAAACAGTCGTTGAAGTGTACGTCCATCCCATAGATTGCTTTCCTTTAACAAAATTTTCAAGTGTTGCATTAGGAATAAACGTATATATGTAGAATGCATAATAATGCAGTAATTAGATTTCTTGAAATTGTAGGGATTTAAATTCCAGGATCATTCCAAAGAAAGGTTTTAACTGACAATTGATAGCTGATAAAAATCTCAGCAAATATTATTAGAAAAGATGAATGATATCATATCACATTTGAAATGGATAATAGCCATGCTGCATTTCCATGTAAGAGCCGCTATCGGACATTCTACATGTTGAATAACAACAACAAATGATTCCGTCTATAAGTGGAATGGATGAATTGGAATCATTCTCGCTTACGGCCATACAACGTGTTCTTTCACTTTTCGTAACCCAGACATGGTTATAGCAAGTGTACAGCAATCGAAAATTTGGCATCTTAGCGACTATCTTGGGAATTTTGTCGATACATCCTCGCTGCAAATGCAACAAAATAAAAGTAAGAATTTTTTTCACAATCACTGAAGAAAGACGATGTTATGATATAATACTTAAGGCTTGCATCAGTTGGATCAAGTCTTTGTCATCATTTTATTATTTCAAAACTCTTTCAGACAGAACATAGTGCAATCATTATTTCATTTCATTTATAACTAATTCAATGCATTTTAAAACTCATTTACCATTCGAATTCCATGGACGGTGTGAAAATCGAAACATCCTTTGCGTGATTTACATCTAATACGATTATTATAACCATCAACATGACATAATGATCTATCCCTTGAACCATACATGGCACTTTTTTCCATAATCATTTCTGGTAATAACTGATTGCGAATAGTCATAGGCCCTGGCATAATAAGATTTATTGAATAACTTTTGCATAAGTTTAATTGCATATTGTTTTATTGAATACTTACATTTAAATACTTTATATATAGCAAGTTTAGTCTAACTGTATTTATTTCTTTAAATCTAAGTTAACATCACTTACAGATTCGATAGAAAAAATAATAAGTAGTGTAAAGGATGGAAAAATGACTTTTTCCTCTTAGAAATTTTTCAACGACGAAAAATTTCTTTCATATATTGAAGAAATCATTTGATGATAATTTAAAGAAAATAGCTAAAAAAAGAAAGAAGAAACTATTAGTTCTTTTAGTCATTTCATTGTATGTTCTAGATAACTATTAACAGTTATTCATTGTAAATTATTAATTTGTTAAATGAAAACAAATATAATTTAAGAAATTTAGAAATGAAACCATTGCATGGTTTATAATTCTCCCGTTGAAAGCATGTAAATAAATAACGTGTTGTCGTGCCATTAGCACCAGGCTGAGCTACTGTAAAGGTCATTATTCGGCTAATCATTTTAACGCTTCCGTTCACACTATATAGATAACTGATAAGTTCATCGAATGCTCCACTGCGATGTTCAACCCCATGTTTGTATCGATCAATTGCTATCATATCATAGCATAATGGATAATTTTTTGTTCTCTGTAAAAAATAAGTTAACATTTTTTCATTATTATTCAATATGCTAGATTAATTAAAAACTAAAAGAATTCTTCCAGGTTCATAAAATTAGTTAATATCATTAGCATACCACTTTCTTATACTTTGCTGGACCAAAGATACCGAAATGGTATTCACCATCCAAAAGCTTATTTAACTTTCCGACAGTTCTTAAACACATCGGCACAACTATTTTCGGTCCTTCTTTGCGTACTTTCGTTCCAAAATCAGCGTCACATGGCTTCAAATCTAATTCAAATTATATCAAATCATCCTGTACATAAATCACAATATCCTACTAGAAATATGACCTTTCGGTTTTACACATTTATAAGGACACAACACCAAGCATTGATAAATGTTTGTGAAATTTGTAATATAATTGATTCATTCTGCCTTTGAATTAAATACGTTTCAAATAAAGAAATTCTAAACCGATAGGTTC